ACCAGCAAAAAAGTGTATTTATGTAACAGTTTTTGCAATAATTTTCACAAGTTTTATCAAAATAACTAGATCTCAACTTTTGTTGTTAACTCAAGTATTACTTCTATCAAAAAGTTTTTGCAACTTGCCTTAAGGCAAAATGCCACTCTCAACTAGTTAAAACATGTAATGCCAAATAGCTTATAGAATTGTACTGTATTCTGATTACTATGGAAAATAAAATAAAAATAATTACATGTAATATCATGTAGAGTTTATAAAATGAAGTAGGTAAAATTTTTTATCTAGATCAGCCAATGGATCGTGTGCAAGTAGCTTAACTTTCCGACCGCGCACTTGAATAATTCTATTTATCAAAGTGAAAAAGTAAATGAAGTAATACAATGCGATTAATCTTATTTCATAAGATCACATTTCTAGGTTTTGCTTTGTTTTAGGTCAAAGGTAGAGTTATGGTATCATCACCACGATTTATATCGATGGATGATACTCAGACGTGATTTGTTGACTTCGAAACTTTTTCTACGATTTGAATGAAAGGTCTAATATGATTTATTTGAATATCGAAAAAACCATAATTGTGAAATTAAAAGTATTGTTCAATATTTGCTTTTTAGATTATATGTTAATTTATCGGTCATGTTTTTACTGATGTAACATGTTTTTTTGGTAAAGTGCATTAATAATTACTTTTTTGCGTCCGGTTTATAAACACTTTCAATTTTCTTAAGATTATGATATAGTACTTACACATACACTTTCAAAACATTATAAAATTGTTCTAAATACTTATAATATATACATTTATACATCTTTTTATTTTTTTATACATTTATAAATAAAAATATTAATGTGAAAAAGAAATTGCCCACGTTTTAGCCCGCAATTCTGAATCGATTTTAAAAATTCAAAAACTTGCAGATACTGGTTGGGAATCGTGCTGATTAGTTTTGGACAGAGATTGAAAATCATCAATTTTGAAAATTGTATTGTTTTGTGCCTATAAATACATAATTTATTAGGAATATTAAAAACAAGATAGTCGGTGATTCTTTTAAATTTATTTCAATAATGTAGAGAAATTGATCATTTTGCATAAGATTCAAAAATGTACTTGCATCAAATGTTGGATTTAAAATTTCTAGTGTTCTCCATTGATGTATAATTTTTATGCACTAATTGATTTGGGAAAAATACAATATTATGAATTTTAACTTATTCAATTAAGCTAATATTTTATCTATTTTAACTAAATAGAAAAAATTATATTTAATTTTGCCTCAGATTTTAATTGGCATTCGGGTTGCTACTTTTGCAGTATTTTTTTAAAAACTGTATCTTGAATATGCCAATTGATTTGTTGGGTTTCTGTGTCTATATTTTTGAGATGAGAGAGATATTAGTTAAATGTTATGATTAGAACATAATTTTATACTTACGATAAATATGAGCAACTAGCAAAAAATACTCCTTTTTGGAACAACAATCAAAACTGAGGTATATGAGATGTGTGAAAAGAACCCAACAGTTGCCCTATCTATATTGGATAAATTATCATTATCATAATTTCTTCAATAGTAATGATGAATTTTTAATTTGATGCAATTTTACTTGAAAACATATTTTGCCTCTATTTTTGAATGAAAAGGATATCACTACTGCTTGAGATCTGGTAGGCAGGAGTGAATATCAAACCTGGAACATTGGCTTGCATGATAAAAATATCAGATGATAATCCAACAACTAATAATTATTGCATTTTAAAATGTGTTTGAAATTAATGAGAAAAACTTTATTGATCTGCTATTCTACCAATGGAAAAACAATTAAAAAATTCGGAAAAATTAAATCCTACCGAATTTAATTAAAGAAAAACATCTTGCGCACAATAATATAGAATAAGTAATGGGTCTGAACAATAGAGATAATTGAAATTATAGAATTTTAGCGAAATACAGAAAAGAATGAAATATGATACAAAATCATAGAAAACAATGTATGGCAGCGTATGAGAACTGCATCATGGACCTGCCTTTGGATTATTGTAGATGGATTAGTTACAATTACCTACCATATCTTATGATATTCACTTCATACTGTATCACAAAATGAAATATAAAAATGGGACCATTCCCAATGATAAACAAATAATAATATAATTATACCGATGGATCTCGAAGTAATCACAATCGTGTCTTCTATTGTTTTGAAATCGGACGCACCGATCTGTTTTATTGCTGCAAATAACAAAGTATTTGCAGTCGCAATTAGCGTTTTATTGAGTTCTGATCTGAAGATAATCTTCTGATTTAAAAGAGATAATGAGAACTATTGTGAAATAAATCGAACGGCATTTACCTACCTATGGCAAGGCTGGTCTTTGAACCTTATGTTTCAGAAATTAAATCGATACGTGACCATAAATTTGTTTTACTGATTTGAACTGACGGAATCAGTGTTCTTTCTTGATACATAACGCAAAAGTTTCTTAGAACATGTTGATATTGTAATCTGTTCGTCATCGAACAAAAAACTGTCTTTAACGTATAATTCAGATAGAGAATTAGCACCAAAACCAATTGTTAATCTTTATTTTTTTATTTAGAGCAGCACTCAGAACAGTCCTATGAGCTGTTGTAATAAAACTTCTTTTTAAGAAGAAGGCAACCCAATAGCTAACCTAATTATTACTGATATATTTTTATAAAAATTTCTCACCTACATTTCTAATCTGACGCATATCAATTATGGAAGAATTTACAACTATTTTTACTTCAAAATATATTTTCAAGTATAAACGGATACAAGTGCTGCTTGGTATCAGTATGGCCGATAACGAACTTGAAATTTTTTGTTGAAAAATCAAAGCTTTTATTTGCTAATAAAACCATAATAAGCTCTAAAAACAATTTATAATGATAGTTTTTTTTTTTTGAAGTGATATCGAAGATATTGTTTGATAACTTAAAATAATGGGTGGTTTTCAAAATATGTTAACTGCAAATTCATCAAAGAAATTTTTTAATCTGTGTTAAATCATATTTGTTGTCCTGAAAAAATCATAAAATTAACAGTTTTAAATTTTTTTTTTTCTTTCCTAAATTACAATCTGTCTTTACCTATTTACAAAAAAGGTTACTCATCAATAAGTCTTCATAATTTTTATAAATATTAAATTTCAAATATTAAAAAAATCTAAATTTCATATCTTTGTAATTTTTTTTTTCAAATTCTATAGTAACAGTTTCAAAAATTCTCTATTGACTTGTCATTGAACATAAATCTGTTTTTGTATTTGGTATATCATTATGTAGTAATTTTTATAAATACCATATATACTAGACTCAAAGTCCCTAATGTAGCTCTCTGCCATTTTCTGTCTCTATCTCTCTCTGCCATTTTTTGTCTCTATTTCTATCTCCCATTTTTTGTCTCTCTCTGTTATTTTTTGTCTCTATTTCTCTCTGCCATTTTTGGATTATTTTATTTTTTGTGTATTTCTACAAATCGGTACAAAAAGTTTCGAATGAAAATGTTAAGGATAAAAAATGAGAACTGTCATATGTGCATTAAATGATTAGATTCTTACATGTCTTATTTAATTTTCAAAGTACAATTAACTGTAAATAAATAATATAACATAATAAATATCATTACAAATTTTGATACTAGTTCTAAATAAAAACAATTTTTAGGAATGGCTTTAATTGGGAATTAGGTGCACTTTGAAATAGTAAAATTTGAATTTCAATATATTTATGAAATAAATAAATTATTGCATCCCAAAAATTCCCTACATTTCCAATTTCAAAAACCATGAGAATATCATATGTCCGATATTCCACTAGATGTAACCCAAAACTCGTTACCTTGAAAATTGCAAAATTATTTATTGTAATGTTTATTGTTCTGTAAATTTATGCAATTAAAAATTACTTTTGTTTTTTGTGCAAGTCGTCCTATCCATTACATTGCGTAACGTTGACCCGTGACAATACGCGTCTGTGAGCGTTTATTAGCCGATAAACAATTTGTTTTAAATGTACTAATCTTATTGAATGTTAATTAATTAATTTTAATCGAGATTTTTTTCAGCCGCTAATTCACACGCTTTCGCGTGAACGTGCCGCGTATAATTCACTGAAACGAATAAATAGCGGTTGCGAAATGTCTACACAGCTCAACACTCGGATAGAGATGAGATTTTGCAACGATTTATTCAACAATTCAACAATTCTATTATTATTATCCAAACTATTTACAATGCCGTTGACAAAAGCTGCATTCTCATTAAATATCTGTAAGAGAATATTTTTTTGATGGTGAGATCTTCATATACCTGCAATATCGCATACTAAATTATATACAACGTGTTATAGGCAAAGTATGAGAAAAGAATTTTGAATTTTGTGCTTCATCAAATATATCTAAAAGGTCTAAGCCCAATTTTGTTTTTGTTTCATTGCCTGCTCGCCTATTATATTGGCTTTCTGGTTGCCTTTCTAGCCTCTTGTCTGACTTTGTGTTTTGCTAATAACGTATGCCATTTTTCTATTTGCCTCTGGTATTTTTGACACCTTCTGTTTTTTGGCTGTCTTTCTTTTTCTTGACCATCTCTGCTCTGTCTTCGTTTGTTTAGACGGCCTTTTTTGGCTCTACTTGCCCTTTTTAGGCGCTACTCGCCTCCTTTTTAGCGCTACTCGCCTCCTTTTTGGCGCTACTCGCCTCCTTTTTGGCGCTACTCGCCTCCTTTTTGGCGCTACTCGCCTCCTTTTTGGCGCTACTCGCCTCCTTTTTGGCGCTACTCGCCTCCTTTTTGGCGCTATTTGCTCACATTTGTCTCTCTCTGCCATTTTTGTCCCCATCTCCTGCCGTTTTCTGTCTCCATCTCTCTGCCATTTTTTGTCTAGCTCATCTCTGTCATTTTTTGTCTAGGTCATCTCTCTGCCATTTTTGTCTACATCATCTCTCTGCCATTTTCTGTCTACATCATCTCTCTGTCATTTTCTTTCTACATTATCTCTCTGCCATTTTCTGTCTACATTATCTCTCTGCCATTTTCTGTCTACATTATCTCTCTGCCATTTTCTGTCTACATCATCTCTCTGCCATTTTCTGTCTACATCATCTCTCTGCCATTTTCTGTCTACATCATCTCTCTGCCATTTTCTGTCTACATCATCTCTCTGCCATTTTCTGTCTACATCATCTCTCTGCCATTTTCTGTCTACATCATCTCTCTGCCATTTTCTGTCTACATCATCTCTCTGCCATTTTCTGTCTACATCATCTCTCTGCCATTTTTTGTCTCTATCATCTCTCTGACATTTTTTGTCTCCATTATCTCTCTGCCATTTTATTTTTGTCTCTATCTCTCTCTGCCATTTTTTGTCTATATCTCTCTGCCATTTTCGTCTCTATAAATTCAACTAAATTTGCGTAAACATATGAATTTTTGTAAAGGTTTTGCTGTTATTTTGTGAAACTTTGTCATACGATAGTCAAAGTACTAATTAATTACAAAACATAACAAATCATAACAATGTCATAAGTTTTGTATAAATAGATTTTGACGTGAAATTAACTACTTAGATATTATTTAGTTTCAAATTTTTTTCAAATAATAAAAATTTGAGTGCAAATTGTCCTTATTAACGAGTAGTCTTTCCATACAACGAATAAGCACCTTGAATCTATGTCAAGACTACTCTTGCAACATATTTTCAGGTGAAGTATATTAGACAGATAATTCCTTGTGATGTCAGTGTAAAGGATACATCTAAATCAATCAATTTTATTAATACTAAATGACAAAGACAAAGACAAATTTTATTATAAGCTTTCGAAATGAACGGTAACAAATATCGAAGAATTTATTGCCAATTGTAAAAAATATCTATATTAAAATTAACAAAAATTTAATATATTAAATTTCTGAAAATTTTGAAAATTTAATATATATTTCTGAAATCAACATCAAATCCTAATAAAATGAATTTTAGGAAATTTGTCACCTTGGCTTTAAAACTCTCTATGGAGTGGTTGAATTTCTACTACGGAGTTGTTGTTTTAGTCTTTATAACTAATAACCATTATAAATAAAATAAATATTTTAGATACCAATCAATGCAAACATATTTCTAAAGAAATCATTACATAATTCTGTAAGAAATTGATTAATTTAAACCATGCAACACGTTCATATATGATTATGGGTTAGAAATAAAGATTTCCTTTTATGCAGTACTTTTAACGACTACTCATTTGTATATCTCATAGGAATTTATTTATATGATAGTAAAGATAATTCATCTTATTAATAAAAGGTCATACTACGATAAAAATCATTTCTGAAGTTTGTAAGATTGTATAAAAAAACTTGGATAAAAAACATAAATCTTCTCTAATTACTATCCTTCACCTCGTCTCCATTTTTAACATCCCTTAGGGTAAGTTATAGCAATCGCAAAAAAAATCCAATTTGTTTGCATATTTTTACATTTCAAAGTTTTCTGAACATTTTTGCATACATACCTTAGAGCAAAATTATGTATGTGTGTGGATAAAATTATTCGTCCACGATATCGGAAGCACGGATCAACCGATTTAAATTATTCAAAAGAATTTCAATTTGTATTGACGGCGAAATATGCTGATTAGTTTTTTAAAAGGCTGGTCCAGCGCTTTCTGAGATATAAAGCAAAAATTTCATTGAATAGCCGTTTTTGAAAGAACGGCGCATCCGATTAGAGTGATTCAAAAAGCAAATTGCTTGTGCGAAGAAATGATTAGGTTTGGCTTATTTTATGTTTCTATTCTTGTAGATAAAATAAATAATGGTCTTATAGCGCTTATTTACATTTTATGTATAAAATATAACGATGAAACATAATAATTATTTCAAAAAACTATTTTTATCCATTTTATTAATTTTCTGTCATGAAAGTTAAATTTATTCATTCAGTCCATTTTGACTGCATTGAAAGCCATCAAATTGATCATTGTACAAAATGAAATTTTGCAGTATTAATGTCATCCATCAAATCAATCCATTGTTGTTTCAGATTAATATAATTTAGTTTCGAGGTCTCCAAATCATTAGTATGTGATTTAATATCTGTGTACATGTATTGTATTGATTAATAATTAATTATTGCAACATGGGTACTATGTTTGAATATGTCATGAAACCCATTAGAGGAAGGAACTAGCTGTAAGTGGAATTCTGTCTAAAGCAATTAGGGCATCGTGCCTTAAGGCAAATTGCTGGAACTTCCCGTACCAAAAATTTTTTTTTTTTTTTAAAACGATTAACATTTTTGAAAAAAAATTACTTTGAAAAAATAAGATTTTTGAGAAACTATAAATTGGACAAAAAATTAGTTTTTTTTGAAAAAAAAAAATTTTTTAAAAAAAATTTTTTTTTTAAAAAATTTTTTTTTTTAAATTTTTTTTTTTTTGAAATAAAAAATTTTTTTCTTTATTTTGACATATTGTGGAAGATCTGAACTTTTTTTCAAAGCAATCGTACTGCTTCAACTACATAGGGACAAAATATAAAGCGCGTAAGCGCCGCGTCGCTGTCTAACGCATAAGCATTGGTACGGAACCGATAGGAATGTTAACAAAATGTATACTTATTGTTAAAATCTCTATAAATGTCTGATAATTTGATGTGCATATGTCTAATGATCATTTTTGACCGCCAAATGGCTCATTTTTTACTTTTTCCTCTATATCTCCGAAACCGCTGGACCTACCTTCATGAAAGTTGTATCGATTCTTCATCTTGTCAATACAAATAAAATGTTTTTTGAATTATTGAAATCGGACGCTCCGTTCTCTTAAAAACTGAGTTACCGTTTTCGGAACTTTTTGCCCGTATCTTCGGAACGGCTTGACCTGCCTTTGCCAAAAACTAATCAGCACGTCTCCTTATCAATACGGATCGAATGTTTTTTGAATTATTCAATCGGTTGATTCTTGTTGCCGAAATCGTCGACGAAAATTTGTATCCGCACATACATACACACACATACATACATACATACATACACCACACATACACACACCACACACACACACACACACATACATCCATTTTTTCTAAGGTATGCCAAAATGTTCAGAAACCTCTGAAACGTAAAGATATATAAAAATTTTCATTTTCGATTTTTTTGCGATTACTATAACTTGCCCTACGGGAAGTTAATAAGCTAATTTCCAAATTAAATTCACATGTTACAGTTTTCGAGTATTGGATTATTGGTAGACTTATTTCAAAAGTAATATTTATAAAAATTTAATACAGTTATGCACCATATATACCGAAAGACGTTCATTTTTGCCAGAAAATCTGATTTGGTAATTTTATGCTTTCTCGCAGCTTCGAGTCATTCTGAATCATATTGTGTGTTCGAGTATTTAGCCGATTTTTGACCTTTTGAAATTGAAGTTTTCTCAAACGTCTGCACAATCATAAAAAACTCTTTTAGTTATTTTTAGGTATAAGTATTCCTGAATTTAATTTATACTGAATTTACTTATATAGACTAAATTTAATTTGATTATATAGAGGAAACGAAAGTATTACAAATTTCTATCGTTAGCAAATGAAAGTATATTGGTAACATATTTTATTAATAAATGTTTGTGTTTGAATTGAAGATTTTCCAGAAGTTGCTAGGCTTATTGTATAAAATTCTGTCTTAACGTCTTTTAATTCAGAAGTAGTTAGGATAAATAAAAATAATATATAAAAAAACCGGAGAAGAGAATTTTTAGGAATAAATACTATAAAACAAACATTTAGTTTATATATAATATAATTTGTAATGTATAATCATATTTGAATGTGAAAAAAAATCAATTCATCCAACCAAATTTGTAGTCATACGTATGTTTATATTATATATATATATATATATATATATATATATATATATATATATATCTATGTGTGTATATGTATACATTAATTATCTTGTAAGCATAAATTTGTAAAATACTGCAATATGGTGAAAAGCATCGTCTAATGATTCGATTCATAATTTACAAGTTGATTTTGATGATAAATTGTTAAAGCATTCTCAACAAGAATAAATATAATACCGCTCATTAGCGAATAATAAAAAAACAGAATTACGAAATATCTAAAAATATAATTTAGCTTTCATGAATGTTAGATAATGCAACTTTTTTTTAGATATTAATACAGACGATAAAGATTT